CTAGGTTAGTCTTTCCTAGCTTAGATAGTCATTGAGGTTATTTTTAATGCATTGTAAAATGCTATTTTTGGGTGCTTATATATATACTTACATTTCATCCAAAAAAACAAATTATTCTTTGATGTAGTAATGCGATTTGCTACTTCAATATGTGTACACTCTTATTTCTTTTTATTATAAGTTATTTTATGAAGTATATAATTTAAATGTTACGTATTATTTTGGACTTAACTCCGCCATGATATCATTTTTTTGGTATCATGCCTGTCCCAAGCCAGGATAAAGGAGGAGGGTGTTGTGGTAGGCGTGTGGCGGCCAACAGTATCACCTAGTCACATCACATGACATGAATCAAAATATGAATATCATTAATGCTAGGTCGTCACCCGTAAGTGACGCGTCATCCCTCCGCCTGGGGGTGGTGTCAAATATGCAAGGGCGCGCTACACTTGATAGACCTAGGTGTGGTGACAAGAATGCTAAGGTTGCTAGGTCGCCGCCCAGAAGCGGCGCGTCATCCCATTGCCCCGGGATGATGTAAAATATGCAAGGACATGGTGGGATCCGAGATGTGGCTAAGAACAGAAGGTGGAATGCTAGATTGCGTTTTGGGACATGGAATGTTGGGTCTCTTACAGGCAAATCTTCCGAGGTAGTCGAGGTTATGAGCAGAAGGAATATCACCATTATGTGTGTGCAAGAAACTAAATGGGTTGGAGAGAAAGCACGCGAGATTAATCCCGGAGGTTTTAAGTTGTGGTATTCGGGGAGAGATAAGACTAGAAATGGGGTAGGCATTATTGTGGCGCGTGACTATGTTGAGGATGTGGTAGAAGTCTTCAGGAAGAATGATCGCATCATGAGCATTAAATTGGTGATAAGAGGTGAGATTGTGTCTGTGGTAAGTGCCTATGCACCACAAGTGGGATTGGATGCATCTACAACTCAACAGTTCTGGGAAGATCTTGAAGATGTGGTGCGACGAGTGCCAAGGGGAGAGAAGTTGATCATAGGAGGTGACCTCAACGGGCATGTGGGCTCGAGTCGTGATGGCTTTGAGAATATTCATGGCGGACATGGTTTTGGCACTAGGAATGAGGCGGGAAAGAACATTTTGGATTTTGCCTTGACGTATGAGTTGGCTATAATGAACACTTGGTTTAAGAAAAGAGACTCTCACCTTGTAACCTATAAAAGTGGAACTAAGAGTACCCAAATTGACTACTTCTTAGTACGGACCACTTGGAGAACTAGCTACACTGATTGTAAGGTTATTCCAGGTGAGAGTGTTGTCACTCAACATAGGATGCTTGTGCTTGACTTTCGAGGTAAGAACCATAGAAGACAAGTTAAACAACAAGTGGAGCCAAAGATAAAGTGGTGGAGGCTTGAGGGAGATCTTCAACAAAGCTTTACACATAAAATGGTCGGTGAAGATGTATGGCGTATTGATAATGAAACACATGTGGATGATGTGTGGTTATCAATGGAGTTGACCATTAACAAAGTGGCAAAGGAGGTACTTGGAGAATCTAAAGGATGTCGGCCACCTAAAAAGGACACATCTTGGTGGAATGATGAGGTGAAACAAGCCATAAGGAACAAAAGAGATTGCTACAAAAAGTTGGGGACAAATTGGAGTGATGAGAACATAGAAGCATACAGGGAGGCTAAAAGACAAGCAAAGAAAGCCGTAAGGGAAGCACGAGGGAAAGTGAACAAGGAGTTGTATGAAAAGTTGGACTCTAAAGAAGGAGAACTAGATATTTATAGACTTGCTCGTCTTCGTGATCGCATAACTCAAGATATTGCAGAAGTTAAGTGTGTGAAGGATGTTGATCAGAGGATATTAATGGACGACGGAGAGATAAAAGAGAGGTGGAGGTCATACTTTGATACACTATTCAACGGGAACAAAACGCAAGATATCGGCGATTTGTCCATACCAGATTGTATGGTAAACCGTGATTTTGTGAGAAGGATCCAAACAACGGAAGTTAAAGAAGCTCTGAGGAAGATGGGGCGGAAAAGAGCAATGGGGCCAGATGGCATACCGATCGAGGCTAGGAGAAGTTTGGGAGAGAGAGGCGTCGAGTGGTTAACAAGTTTCTTCAACATGATTTGGAGAAACAACAAGATGCCAACGAGTTGGAGGAAGAGTACTCTTATCCCTTTATTTAAGAATAAAGGTGATGTACAAGAATGTGCCAACTATCGAGGGATTAAGCTTATGAGTCACACCATGAAACTTTGGGAGCGAGTGATTGAGCAAAGACTTCGAAGGACTGTGAAGATTTCAGAGAATCAATTCGGTTTTATGCCTGGTCGCTCAACAACTGAGGCCATTCACCTTCTTCTGCAACTTATGGAGAAGTATAGAGATGCTCATAAGGATCTGCATTTGGTGTTCATTGACTTAGAAAAGGCATATGATAGGGTACCTCGAGAAGTTCTTTGGTGGGCCTTAACTAGGAAAGGCATATCACGCAAGTATATCAGCATCATCATGGATATGTATGAGGATTGTACTACAAGTGTTCGTACTAGTGTAGGGAGGACTGAAGAGTTCCCTATTACTATCGGAGTGCACCAAGGATCGGCCTTGAGTCCTTTCTTATTTGCCATAGTCATGGATGAACTTACGAAGTCAATTCAAGACGATATACCGTGGTGCATGATGTTTGTCGACGATATTGTATTGATTGATGAGACGCAATCAGGTCTTAAAGCAAAGTTAGAAGTATGGCGACAAACATTGGAGAATAAGGGTTTCAAACTAAGTCGGAGCAAGACAGAGTACATGGAGTGCAAGTTTGGTGGAGGTAGAAGTAGTGGTAATAGCGGAATTACTCTGGATGGTAAGGAGATACCAGTCAGCGATATTTTCCGTTACTTGGGCTCCATAATTCAGAAGGACGGTGAGTTAGATGGAGATGTATCCCATAGAAACAGAACAGGGTGGATGAAGTGGAAGAGTGCGTCAGGATTTCTATGCGACCGAGGTATGCCAACTAGACTGAAGGGTAAATTTTATAGGACAGCAATTAGGCCTGCATTACTGTATGGCGTAGAGTGTTGGGCGGTGAAACAATGTCACATTCAAAAGATGAGTGTGGCAGAGATGCGCATGCTGCGTTGGATGTGTGGGCATACTAGGAAGGACCGCGTGAGGAATGAGACAATCAGACAAAGGGTGGGAGTAGCACCTATTGAAGACAAGATGCGGGAGTCGCGCCTACGATGGTTTGGTCATGTGCGTAGAAGACCGAGTGATGCACCTGTTAGGCGAGTTGAGATGTGTGGAGAAGAGGCAGGGAAGAGAGGGAGAGGAAGACCGAAACAGACGTGGGTTAGGGGAGTTCGAAGTGATATGCTTCTTCTGGGGTTGGATGAGGGCATGACTTTGGAGAGAACTAAGTGGAGGGTGGGTATTCACGTGAAGGAGTGATCTTGATAATCTTTTTCCCTCATCTTTTTTTTCCTAGTTTTTTTTATCCTTATATATATAAGCATTATTTGCAGCCTTTTTATTTTATCATTTTTATATATATTCATCTTTTTTATATTCTTTTCATAATAGCTTATCTTTTTATCTTTATTCCTTCTTTTCCTTTTGGTTGTGATATCATGTATCGATTCATGTTAGCCGACCCCAATATCTTTTGGGACTAAGGCTTGGATGTTGTTGTATTATTTTGGACTTGATCATTATTTCTTTTTTGGTGGAGTAATGAGATATTATATTTGAATGTGTGTGTATGTTGATTATCCTTTATGTGCTATATGTTTTTTATGTTCTAAAAACTAGTACAATAATTTAATCATTCAAAATAAGACCTGTATTTTTAACCCGAATTTTTCTAAGAGATGTTGTACTATACACGTATACTTATTTACACGTTTTATAAAAGTCAACGTATTTTTTGCCGAATTTTTGGCCGAATTTTTGTTCAAGTTACCGAATAAAACACGTACATATTAAACCACGTTTAATTCCCGTACCGTATTTAACTAACTATGACCCGTAGTTCAGCATCTGAAAAACCCGATATCCGACACACCTAGTTGACCGAGTCCATCGTAGATGAGTTTCCGTCGCCCTCGGGCAACTCTTACATAAATGGAGGACGAGTGGACAACGGATATTATAGCGGGTGGGACCAGATGAGTCGCTGCCGCCATCCCGCCCTCGGACAACTCTTACATAAATGGAGGATGAGTGGACGACGGTCATCGAAGCGGGTGGGACCAGATGAGTTGCTGCCGCCGCGCTGCCCTCGGACAACCTCGCAGATGAGTAGCCGCCTCCCTCGTTGAACCAAATCTTGCATCGTGGGTTGAAGCCCTTGTTCACTGTCGGCCTGTCAAGTGCGAAGTTGTGAGAACACTACTCTTTGCCAAAGTACCCCAAACGCCGGTGGTCCTATTTTTGAAACCAAACATTTGGCAATGGATGTGTTTCCTTTCGTATTTTAATGGTAAAACTGAATATTGTAAAATTTGGGCAGGGTGAAGAAGTTTTTATCTTCCATTTCGAAAAACTTTCTGGTTTTGTAAATAATGAACAGTATGGTAAAGTGAATTTTCGTATTGCATACTCTTTATAAAAGAAAGGGCAGAATGGTAAAGTGAATTTGATATCTATGTTTCCTTAATTCTTGTGCTGGTCAAAGTTTGCAATTCAATTCGGGACAGAGGGAGTATATACTAATTCCAGGAATCTTGGTAGTAGGATAACCGTAAACCTATTACAACGCTTCGATTAAGAATACTTGGTAAAATAAAATGATGATGATGATGTTGTTGTTGACTTTGACGATGAGGACGACAACGATGACAATAAGACACTAATATCAATAATGATAGTAATAGCGATAATAATTGTATTAATATAAGACTTCTTTCACCTATATCAAAATCCTCCCATCCCTCCAAGTTCCCCAACCAAATAATCCCATGGAATATAACAAAATAAACAATGTTAGAAAGATCAATCACACCTTATTTGTGTCACCTCCTGCTAGTTTAAAAGTTCGTTTCCACAAAGCTGATGGTACAGGAACAACAGAAAATCCCAAAGCTACTAAGATTCCAATCCATAATCCATACCCAAATCCTCCACCCCACCAACCCTTCATATGAAGAAAAAAATATTGAAACAAACTGTGGCATGAAGGAAGAAAGCGTAGAGGAGAATTAAAAGTTACATCAGATCTAACCATAATAAAATTGGAAGTTACTGATTATTCTCAAAAGTTATGCAAGAAAGAGTGGTGTTCAAATTATCATTATTTCACATGAAGAATTCCTGATGGTGCAGGTTGATTATTGGGGCCTGCATTAATGCCCATCGCTGATGAGAATGCTAACCTGTTTACCATCTTGTGGGAATGGAGTTGATTGCTCAATATATGCAGTAGTTCCTGAAAGCAAAAACAGAAATTTGTCAAGTAGCAGCTCCGTAAACAAATGTGTCAACGGAATCCTATGATGAAGTATCCAACATTCCAACTTCGGGAACTCGCCCACCATCACCTACCATATGTGAGATGTAGATCATAACCGAACCATCTAGGTTTCAAGGTCAGGAATCAGGATCCATACTTTAGTTCTTATATCTTGTTGGGCTTATATAAAATTTTAAAAAAAGGAACAGAGAACAAACATAAAAAATGGGGTAGAAAATGATATTAAAGCAAAATCAAGCTAAGATCATAATTTCTCAAAAGATCCTTATCTAAGCTTTTCAGTCAACTGAAGCAGATTATAATGTTAAGAGCGAGTTAGTTTTAAGTGCCAAACTATAACAAAGAAAACAAACAGAGAACTATACAGCTATACTTGGAGATTATGTAAATTACCAATAGGAACTTCAAAACTTTGAATCAAGTGAACAATGGACTTCGCATCTAACCGCCTTCGTACTCCTTTCCCAACTGTTACTTTCAAGTGAGGAGAATCAAATACCTGTTACAAATAAAAGAGATGCTCTAATGATTTAAGTTTCTAATTAACATAAATACTTCTAGAAAATGCAAATGGAGAATGCTCTCTAAATGGTTTTCAACAAACCCAGAGTTTTGTTAAGCATATATATTATCTTATGAGGAAAGTGTCAATTTAGTACTTGAATTTGTCTCTGACACAGTAAAGAGTACATCACCTTATATGAGAGCTCATAGCCTCATAAAATACTCCAACATCTCTGATTGAGTAAAGAGTACATCAACATGCATCGGAATTCAGAAAGTATTCCAACTTGTTTTTGTGTGTCATACCGTCATTATAGTACTTTCGCTACCTAGAGATTTGACACGTTGAATTTAAGCTTAACGGAAACAACGAAAGAACACTATCTACAAACCATGTGAACTATGTTATAAGTTAAGTCTACACGGGGAGCAAAATTGATGTACTAAAATAATATTTTACACTAAAGTAAAAATTAAATTAATATTGTTAAAGTCCCTATAAATCCAAAGCTAATGTATACAATAAAAGCATACTAGCCTATTTAACTATTAGTTTTATCAAGAGTTTCGCAATTCTAAATATTACAGCATTTCAAACATGTAAAATTGCTATTCTAAACATTATTCAAAAAATTCTTATAAATTCGATATAAATCATTTACTATAAGTTAACAATTATAGTAGCTTATTTAACAATTATTTTTATCAAACACCGCATCATTTTTGTTTCCATCATTTGCAATGGGGCCAAAGACTCGCTATTTTATGGCTTAAGAAAGTGATGGAATAAAGCAAAATGACTCACTAAACTTGCGCTTCTTTGTTATGAAGCAGCAGTCGGTCCATGCAATTTGGATGCGATTTTCACTATGGGTCATCCGGAAACAGTTTGTGCGTAGGGGTAAGACTGCGTACATCCAACCCCCCTTACCCCACCATAGGTGGGAGCCTTTGCGGCACTGGGGTGATGATGATGATGATCACATCATTTTTAACTTTTATCAATTTTCAACTAGTTTAAACTAAAAATTAACAAATCATTTTCCCTAAATTCTCTCTATATTTGACGGTTATACCATAAGTCCATAACACAGTTGAAGTGCTTTCAAACTCTTTTACTCCATTTGAGACAGGTTGGAGTACTTCATGAGCTCCGCTTGAGACAAATTCAAGTACCAAATTGACATTTTCCTCATCATCTTATTATGTGCAATTGTACACATGTATGAAGTTGAATATTGCTTTACTCTCTTATCCTTTGGAAAGTAAAAGGCTTGAACCATAATATTTTTAAAAAGCAAGTAGAAAGTGAAGTTCATACTTGAACTTTCCTTAACGAAGCAAGTATCTCAAATGTAAGAGAAGTTCAAAGTGCCTTAATTAATTCGAAATTGTGTCTTACAACTTGTAAGCTAGGGATTATCATATACGTAGGGGGTGTTTACTTTTTTCATTAATTCCTAGATTAAGACGTATGTTTGTCTAGATTAAGCATGGTTTAAAAAAGCTTTTATGAGGCTTGCCATAATGATTGTGTTGGTGTGGGGCAGTGAAAAAAACCTAGAAGTTAAGGCTATGTTTGTATGACCATTTCACCTCAAAATGAACTTAAATTTTATCTATCTAGACAATTAATTCACGTGTAGTCTTGTTTGTATGAAGAGCTGAACTTGGTCTAATCAAGCTGATTTGAAACATCACTAATTGTAGCGTTTCAATTCAACCCTTTAATTTACTACAACCTTATGTTAACTTTATCTTCAAAATCGCACTTTTAGTCCCTGAAATAGTCAGCATATTGAAATGTCAGACCCGTATTTCTGCGATTATAAATGTCACCCCTCAATTGTCCAAATTGTTGTAAATGTTGTCCTTTGAGGGGTGAAATGTACTCCTCGCCCACATTGTACATTTCACCCTCAAAGGACCACATTTACAACAATTTGGACAATTGGGGGTGACATTTACAAATTGGGGAACACGGATCTAACATTTCTATATGGTGACTATTTCGGGGACTAAAAGTGTCATTTTCCCTCCCATTATGCAAATCTTATCTTGTTTCTACTTCATTCAGGACTTCAATTTTAGCAGCTTTTATCCAGCTTCGAACTATAATCTCTAAATTAGATAATAGACTTCAAGGGAAAATCATACTCTTAGTCCCTGAAATAGTCACCATATTGAAATGTCAGTCCCGTATTCCCCAGTTTGTAAATGTCACCCTCTCAATTGTCCAAATTGTTGTAAATGTGGTCCTTTGAGGAATGAAATGTACAATGTAGGCATTTTGGACAATTGTACAATGTAGGCATTGTACATTTCACCCCTCAAAGGACCACATTTACAACAATTTGAACAATTGAGGGGTGACATTTACAAACTGGGGAACACGGGTCTGACATTTCAATATGGTGACTATTTCAGGGACCAAAAGTGCGATATTCCCTAGACTTCCGCTATAGTTCATTCTTCCAAACATAGCCTAAGCCACATGAAAATGAATATAGGCTTAAGCCTCATATGGCTGAGGCATTTGTGAGGCTTAAACCTCATGTTTTTACTTAATTTTATATTGGATTATTAGCTTATTTTATTCCAAAGTATCATCAAATTCATAAATCTATCCTATACTTTCACTTTTATCAAAAAAAAGACTCAAACTTCATGTTTTTTAACAATTATGCTTTTCTTTTTTGTTTTTTCAAAATTAAATTTTTTATAAATACCAATAAGATATAAGCAATACAAGTTTGTAAACTTAAACTAGAAAGAAGTGAAAAAATATGAAATATAAATGTGATTTTCTTCTTAAGTTTTACTAATTCATCAATTGAAAGTGTAATTGTAAGAAAGTTGAAGTTTGAGTCTTTTTTTAATAAAAGTGAAAGTATGGGATAGATTTGTGAATTTGATGATAGTTGGGGATATATTTAGCTAATAATCCTTTTATATTTTGTATTAGGCTAATATTTTTCCTAAAATTCACGCTGAAACTATTATTTTCCAATAGAGTTTTTGCCACTTTTAGTCCTCCGACTATTATGTCACTCATACTTTTGGTACTCGACTTTGACTTTTTTCACTTTCGATCCTTCAACTATTCTGTGAAAGACACTTTTTGTACTCATCTTTGAAAATTTCTATATTTAGTCTGACTTTCATAAAAGTGACACTTTTAATCCTTCAACTATTATAATAGTGACATTTTTAGGGATTGTTTGCAAGAGCTTAATAAAGCACCTAATATTGCTTTTAGCTTCAAAAAAGCTGAAAATGGTGTTTGCATTAACAAGCTTTTGCTTAAACTCAAGTGCTTTTATGCCAAAAGTTAAAAGCACCCTCTAGGATGCTTTTATGTGCTTCTGGGTTCTTTGGTAAATAATTTACTTTTAGGATTGTTATTAGCTAAACATATTCCATAAACCCCAAAACACCGATCCCAATTAATTATTCGTCCGTTTGGAAATCCCTGAGGAGCTTGAGTTGAGCGATGACCATCTGCACCATCTGCCACACCGGCAACGCGCCATCCGCCACCATCCTCGACGTGGCCACCAGCCAGGGCCCTCATCTTAGCGCTGCAGCAGTCATGTGGTGGCTCACCTCTCTTTCTGTATGTTTGAAGAATTAATCTTCCTTGTATATTATTGAGCCATCCGGCAATGATATATATATAAGTTACAGATAAGGTTAAGTTGTTACAGATCCTGAAAAGTAGGATCTATCTATTCTATCTATTCTGCGGGCTAATCTAATAATTAGAGACCTCTATCTACTCTAATTCTTATCTATACAGTCCCAGATGTACAAATAGTAAAATAACATGTAAATGCTACATTTTTCTACACTCCCCCTCAAGTTGGTAAGTATATATCATACATTCCCAACTTGCTTATAAGAAATTCAAACACTGGTTTAAACAGCCCCTTTGTAAAGATATCAGTTGTTTGTTCTTTGGTAGATATGAATGGTGTGCACACAATTCCAGCTTCAATCTTCTCTTTGATAAAATGCCTGTCCACTTCAATGTGTTTAGTACGATCATGTAGCACAGGATTGTGAGCAATATTAATGGCTGCTTTATTGTCACAATATAACTTCATAGGTAGTTCCATTTCCATATTCAATTCTGACATCATTCTCTTGATCCAAAGTAGTTCACAGATTCCATTAGCCATAGATCTGAATTCAGATTCTGCACTACTTCTAGCAACCACATTCTGCTTCTTACTCCTCCAAGTCACTAGATTCCCCCATACATAGGTACAATATCCAGATGTGGACCTTCTATCAGTTATTGAACCAGCATAATCTGCATCTGTAAAAGCTTCTACACTTCTATTGTCACTTCTTTTAAAAAATAATCCTTTCCCTGGACAGCTTTTCAAATATCTTAGGATTCTGTAGGTAGCATCTAGATGTTCCTGGAATGGATTATGCATGAATTGACTAACCATACTGACTGCAAAGGCAATATCTGGCCTTGTATGTGCCAGATAAATCAGCCTTCCCACCAATCTTTGATATTGGTGAATATTAACTGGTACTCCTTCCTTGACATTTCCTAACTTTTGATTAGGGTCAATTGGAGTATCTATTGGTCTGCAGGCACTCATACCTGTTTCATGGAGTAGGTCTAGTACATACTTCCTCTGAGATACCACAATTCCCTTCTTTGATCTGGCTATCTCCATGCCAAGAAAGTACTTCAATTCTCCCAGGTCTTTGATCTCAAATTCCTAAGCAAGCTTCTTCTTCAGGTCTTCAATCTCTTTACAATAGTTTCCTGTAAGAATGATATCATCCACATAAACAATTAGTACTGCAATCTCTCCCTTAATGGAGAATTTCATGAATAGTGTATGGTCTGCTTGGGCTTGCTTGAATCCCTGCTTCTTTATGAATTGAGTAAACCTTTCAAACCAAGCCCTTGAGGACTGTTTAAGTCCATATAAAGCTTTCTCCAGCTTGCACACCTTTGAGCCATATTGT